ACTTGAAAAGTGCGCCAATGAACTCGCACCAGTATTCTGCAGACTTTTCAACCTTACATGGAACAATGTCATCCTTACTGTTCCATGTAAAGCCCTGTTTTCTTAGCGACGCATTTTTCCCATCGCGTGCGACGTGTAACGCCCAGCTTAATACGTCGCCTACTCCTCCATAGGGATCCAATAGGACTGTTTTCCTAAAGAGCGCAAAACGTTCCACGCTGACGTGATGCGCTCAACGTGTTAAACCGACTGTCAGGTTTTGTCTGAGACCGTTTGTTTCGTTTAGTGTTATTAGTGATTTTCTGATGAGGACGGAGCTATGCTTCCCATCAATGGGAAAACCCCCAACGCTTCCAAGACTCCTTGGCTATCTGTTCCCATTCGATGCAATTAGGAGGGGGCAAAAAATAGACACAAACTTTTTTTGAAGGACAGCTAACACCTTAGGTACTATGTTGCTTTTAGCAGACGGCGATATGCGGTATCCAAAAGCCTGTAAGCCAGTAACCTCTACGACGTCGGACCATCAGTGGTGCCATCAGTACCACATCGTCAGCGGCCATGGAGATCCTTCCAGATCTACCTCCTCTCCACATTTTTCTGGAGAGAGAGAGGCTAGATGGACTGCATATAGACTTGTGCATATTGCCAATTGCACAAACCAATTCAATGCAGAGTGCAACAGACTGTTGGTTGATACTGGAAGTCACATCATTCTGGAAATGATCTCTGACTTTATGCCTCCAACTGTTAACTACGAACTGCCTTATAAAGTACTGTTCCGGGAAAAGGAAATATTAAGAGCAGATAGTTGTTGGTTCACAGATGGATCAAAAACACTTTCGGGTTCTGGACCCAGGACAGAGATTTGCCTAGGAACTTATGCGACCGTATTTCAAGCGGAAATTTACGCTATTGAATTGTGTGCGGAGAGATTGGAAGAATCTAACCTCATACACAAGTCAATAAAATATTCTCGGACAATCAAGCGGCGTTGGAAGCTTTTGGCTTCTACCGAGCGACATCTAAATTGGTAGCAAATTGCCAAAAACGACTCTCCTCGATAGAAAGACTTAACGGATTGTCTCTGGTCTGGATTCCTGGCCATATTGGCTTGGAAGGCAATGATGCTATTGACTTTCTTGCAAAGGAGGGTGCTGCAAGTAGCTTCATCGGACCAGAACCTATCATTGACATCGGTCGTATTCAAATGGAGTTTAAACTATCATTCAACCAATACATTTTATATAATTATGCTTTTTTTGTGGTTTTCGGAGTCTTCTTCTGTGTGTTACAAGAGGTAAGTGCAAGAAACGCAGGTGAAACCTTACAAAAGGAAAAAAAAAGAAAAAGGATCCTCATGAAGTGCAAATGAAAAGAATAGGGCAATTTACTGGGAACTTTTGCAATTTTTGGATGAAGTGAAAGGTGAACGGAAGAGTTTCACGAATGTTTTACCTTCACCAAAAAATCAACAGCCAACTTTGACTGCGGAAGGCGATTTTTCTGATCCAGAAGTGCACGCAAGTGCTCGAAACCAAAATCGTTTTTCCGATTTTTATAAAGTTAAAGGAAAAACAGATTTTTCATTTGTTTAAGAATAATCATTGCAAAGTATTTTTTTCTTCTTTGGATTCGTTTCATAATCACACACCGATACACTGTCTGTTGTCCGTCAGTACGTCAACTGAACAGAGAAACATGCTTCGCATAGGAAAACATTAAAACGCCGCGTTATAAGTTTCACGCTCCTGCCGACGCGATTAGAACGAACCCGGTTCCTGCTGCGCGAAAAACACGTCGCTATAAAATCATACCTTAAGTGAATTTTCCCTTCTTCATTAATTATATTATGTAGGAATCCTGTGGATGATATCTGATTCTATTCCATACGAATTTTTGGAATACAAACGGATTAGAGAAAAGTAAATTGATGGATGTAGCCGTTACTACGTGGTAGGAAATCATAATGAAGAAAAGAGAATTGAAACTTTCTATGTTTTTTCCACTTTTATTTGTAACTAACGTTACTACAGTTTCGTCATATAAGGACATTTTCGAACTTCATATATTAATGTTTGAAAATGTCCTTATAGGAAGAAAGTTACAAATGAAAGTGGTAAAAAACATTGACATTTTCAATTCTCTTTTCTTCATAGAGAAAAGTACTTTTCGTATAATTCATCGTTCACATAAAAGTATTTATTTCAAAAGTATTTTTCTTTTGTGTAAATCAATATGTATATGAAAATAGCTATTTAGTTATTTCTTTGCATGATCTACATATCTTTGTATAAAGGTAACTTTTTGAAATTGATTGCTTCCTTTTTTTATTTGGAAGATTCCCACATTTTTTTTATCGAGATGGAGAAATAGAAGGCCAAAAACTTTCTGTACCAAAAATTAATTTCTCCTAAAAATATACCCTTTTAAGAAAGGAATTTTTCCTTCTTGTTGGAAGATTGCTGGCGTTCAGCTTATTCCCAAAAAGGGCGAGAAAAATCTTCCAAATAACTATAGACCAATTGCTTTGCTATCGGTGATATCAAAAATCATACAGAAAGCCGTAAACTAACATATTCTTAAATATTTGGAAGGCTTCAACATCTTGAGCGATCATCAATATTGCTTTCAGAAACAAAGATAAACAGGCGCCCTTTGAAAATAGTTTTTTTCTTAGCACTTGTAGTGAAAATGGTATAACTGAATAATTAGGTTCGTGGTATTAGCCAGGGGAGTAGTTGTTTTCTGATGGGTGTCACTCAATTAAACTACAGTGTAGCTGAGTTGAGACTGGCCTGAACTGATTTTGATAATTTGAATTAGTTTCTAATTTGTATACTGAATATCAAAGAAGAGTTTTCTTGGCGGTGCCCAAAAAAAGAATATGTGCAAGTAGGATAATGTTATCTAAATGTCGCTGCCAACGATCAAAGGAAAATTATGGGATATATGTAATTATTACTTAATATATTTACTATTACCTTCAAAAAATCAATTACAAACAATTAATTCTGATTGTTTGCTGAGAAATAATAAAACTTGCTTGACTAATTTGATGTCGTTTCTTTGATTTGAAAGGTAATTTGAGTTCTTACATAATCAGGTTTCGCATTTCAAGGAGTGATTTCATCCATTTGGGACAAGTTCATCATTTTGTTTCTACGAAAAACCAAAATAAAAATGACAAATTTTTCAACATCCAAATATGAGTTTGGGAATATTCAACATTCATGAGACATTCGAAATCATTTCTCGCCTGGAGAATATTTCTATATTTAATATAATGGGAGACGATAACGATTCAGCTGAATGAAGCAAAGTAGGGCTCGGCTGGAATTGAATGAATAACAGGTTCTTGAACGGAATTTCTGTGCAACACTCTCGTATATTAAAATTTTCGACCTCGTTAATCTTCAGGTCGCATAAGTTTCGTCTTTTGAGATTGGCTAGTCGCACGAATAATAAAAAAACAGTTTCTTCAACCATTTCTTTTCACAACATGATAATTGTTTATTTATTCATTCAGCCACATTACAGAGTATTATTCTATTTGTGTTTGGTCCAGGGCATAGCATCAAGGATAGAACCTTGATGTACCCCAAAATGAATGTTCTCGATTTCAGAATAGCTGTTGTCTATAAAAACAGCTTGTCTCCTACCATTCAAGTACGATTCGAATAATTTCCATGCAGTACCGCGTATAGGTATCGTAAAATTGTAGTTTGTCTAATAGTACTGTATGAGAAACACAGTCAAAGGTCTTGCTCAAGTTACACATAGACACCATCGTATGTTGATCCGCCTCAAAATCCTCGACTATATCAGCCACAAGTCTTTGTATCGCTTGAACAGCGGAACAGTTCTGTCTGAAGCCGAACTGAACTTCATGTAGCGTTTTGTGCATGTAATACTACAGTATTAAATTTTATGTTTTATTTATGTATTTATTCAAAGTGATACTGTCAAATATATGGTCATGAGCAATTCAATAACAAATACATCCAGCAGAAATATATTTGTTTCTCTTATTGGTCAATACTTGAAAAAAAATTGCATATTCAGTATCCAATTTTCTACCAGTTTGTACTGGAAAAAGGTAACAACCATAAAATGGCAATTGGTTCAAAAGTGAAACGAGTGTTCTCTAACCAGTCTACGTTTTGTTTGAATAGGGACAGCCAATAAACAAAACTGTCCATGTTGGAACCGACATACTTTTTTGACACTAACATAAACGTTGATCTTTATTTTGAATACACTATCACCGCGTGGAATTGGCCGCGGTGGTAGTGCGCCCGACCACGATCGGAAGACCGTGGGTTCGATTCCCGCCTCGAGCAGATATTTTTCTCGAGAGAATTTATCTGGTTGAAGCTGGGATGATTCTGCAACCGTGTTAGGAATCACACGTTAAAAGGTAAGACCTCGTTAGTCCTTATCTCGCACTTCACCTTGTATTTTTAGGACCTTTATCTCTATTTTCATGTTTTTGAACTTGATTAGACTAATAACAATGTTCTTCTCTTCCCTAACATTTTCATCGGTTGTTGATCTGCTGGGGCGACCAAGGCGAGCGTCATCATTCACACTTTGTCGACCTTCTGTAAAAAGTTTGTAACATATATCAACATTTTACTGACTCACAGTAAAATCACCATATGGCACTTTCAACATTTCAAGTGTTTTTGAGTACCTAATTCCATTTTTTACACAAAGTTTGATGCAAATTCTCTGATCTAGTGATAGTAGAAAATCGCGGAACACGTAAAACACTAACTTTTATGTCTCTCACCAACAAACTAAAGATGATAAACTCTGAACATATCTTCGAGATGGGCGTACCAACAAAAAAATCGTTAATCGAATGTATGTAGCCCGCGAAATTTGAACATTTACCATATTTTCTGAACAGACTTCGTATATCATAATCACGAACCAGATTTTTTCTGCCAGGCTTAGAGTTCAAACTTGAATGGAAAATTTGTAACACAACTCACCTATGGCACAGATTTATGGTAACCAGTAAGAAGAAAGTGACAGCAGACAATCCTGAAAATATTCCACATTATTATTCGTTATTATGAATGTGTGATTCTGATATATGTAATGGTTTGTCTGATATATAATAACGCAGACAAACTTTTGTGAAATGTGGCGTTATTGTTTTTTTCAAATATCTAAGGCGGTTATCATTATGGTTTACGGAAGCAAAAAGCAACAGACGACTTCATTTTTTTGAAATAATGCAATCGGGAAATACGGAGAAGTGTTTAATAACAGACCTTCAATATTATTGATTACCAAATCGCTTTTGTTCGTCCCGTTCTATAATGCCGTTATCATCAACAATTAACATTAGTGTTTCTCAGGCGTTAACTGTCTATTGGAAATCACTAAAAAGAGTTGTAAACTTCAATGGAGAGGTTTGGCATGGTTACTAAGTCTTATTCAACGGTAAGGAAATTCACTCATTTGTTAAATGTACCAGAATTGCCAAAAACGACTCTCCTCGATGGGAAGACTTAACAGATTATCTCTGGTCTGGATTCTTGGCCATACTGGCCTGGAAGGTAATGAGGCTGCTGACTCCCTTGCAAAGGAAGGTGCTGCAAGCAGCTTCATCGGACCAGAACCTGTCGTTGGCAGAATCTTCTAGGATTGGCTCAGTCCAAGGCGTTTATTCACCCTTCCAAGTTTGATACTAAACAGTTGTTGAACTGCAGTAGGGATGAACTACGATGTCTAACAGGCCTTCTTACAGGTCACTGTCATTTGAATCATCATATGCAGAGACTCGGACTGTCGAAAGACAGTGTGTGTCGCCTCTGTTTTGAAAATGATGAAACAGCACAGCACATACTTTGTGCCTGCCCCGCTGGGGACCGTATCAGGTTTTTAGTGTTCGGCAAAGCCGTACTCTTATCATCTGACCTGAAATACCACTCACCATACAAAGTAATCGGCTTCGTTGTTCATATGGGTAAATTTGGTCGAGTGTGAATAGGTGTGAGCCTCGAAAACCCTTGCGGGTTGCGGTGGAGGGTCGAATAGACCCACTCACTTTGGACCTAACCTAACCTAAATATACCAGAAACCGACATAATTCCATATCACACAATTTCACCAGCTGGATCAACTGATTTGTTTGGTCAAATTGCAATTTGACTAATACCACTTACTATTTCAAAGTTATACATTATTGGAATATTCCTGTGCTTATAGGGAGCTCCACTCCTAATAATTATAGGGTATCTCCCTCTATCCATAATAATAATTATACAATTTTCACAATAAATTTTATTCAACACTTGTTTTGCTCCATGGTGGCTTCATCAGAACAGTCCAAGTACTTTGGATTGTTCTAGAACTGTCCTGATAGTTAACCCGAATACGTGTTATTATACAGATTTTTTCTTATATTCTTGACTGCTGTGTACACACTAAGCGTTTTCAGTTCACAACTGATTGCGCTCATCTAAGTAAGGCAAATTTTTTGGGTAATTGTATGGTTTTCAGTACGACTTCCGATTAGACTTTCTTTAGACAGTCTTTCAAAGTACATATAACTTTTTTTTTCCGAAAATCCTGTGCAAAAAATTGTCTTCGTTCAAGAACACAATATAAATATTGAATTACACGAAAGAAAAATAATATCGAAACGAATACTTTCATATGAATGCTGAATTATGCGAAAAACACTTTTCTATATTCTGTTTGTATTCCAAACATTCGTATGGAATCGAATCAGATGTCATTCGCAGGATTCCTACACAATATAATTAATGAAATTTCAGTCACATTGAACACTGTCATTCTCACTGCTAGACATCCCATGTTTTACCGCAAGACACTTGCCTTATCGGCTCTTCAGTAGCAAATATGGATAACATTATTTTTCTTATGTGTAATTCAATATTTATATGAAAATAGCTGTTTAGAGAGAGCTTTTTTTTCCAGTTTGTGTTTGAAAGTTACTTCTTTGCATAATCTACACATCTATGGGTAAATTTTCGTTATGTGGACACTCGGCGATTTTGAAAACATTTTTGACTGTACTTACGTATTTTGATGCGTAGATTACGAATCCGAAAGAAAAAAGCGGCGCTCTCCCTTATTTGAAAAGTTACGGCCCTTCAAAGTTCAGAAAAGGGCAACTTTTCAGCCTTCTTTTTCACTAAATAAACTATTTAAAAACACAAGCATTTATTCACTAGG